TTCCGTATATGCAAGTGTATGAATGGTTACCATCCAGCCAATTGAAAATAATTTTTATATAGAAATAAAAGAACTTTAAATGTATATATACATATATGTATGTCTAAAAATTTTGTCATAAAAGGTCTAAATTGAGTTCCAGAGATTTTTAACTACGGCGACGATAACATTTTTTTCAAACAACGTGTGTTATTTAACACACGTTATAAATCATACAAAACTATTTAGTTTTGTATGATTCAAAAACTAAAATGCTGCAATATGTAGTAAAAGCATATTAAAATAAATATAATAATCGTGGACATCGAAAGACCAGTTGGTTTAGATAGTCGACCTTGAATTAAATGGCCGATGACGACCTGATTGTCATAAGGTTATAATAGCAAATCAGTATATATATTTGGGTTAAATAATCGTGAACATATTTTACATAACTTCAATCATTTATTTTAGGTATTAATTGTAAAAGGATGAAATATAAGATCGGGAGTACCTCATATATGTAGATATTAATGTTCAAGAAACCAAGCGAAAACTTTTAATTGAATAAATCTAATGTTACACCTTATCCTCAAATACATGTATATCAAACATTCTTCAGATCGAACAACAGTCGATCGAACACAGTTTGATGTGCATATACATTACCTAAGAAATTCTTACACAATATGTTTACATTCTGAAATACTGTGTATAAAATAAACATTATATACACAAATAATCTTTATTTGCAGATCATACACAAAAATAAATAAAAATAATCCTCCTCCCTCCCCCATCTAAACCTTAACCCCTTCCTACCACCCCTCCCACATACATTATTACAAATTAATTTTGTGTTTCTTTAAATTGATCATCTCGGTATAGATATAAAGAATCTATTCTGAAATCGAACAAAAAATAACCAAGAAATCAATTGGATATTATTATATATACGATAAAGTATTTGAAGCTGATTTAGATAAATTGAATATCGAATTCAAAATGAAAATTCTATATTTTTTTATGAAAGGATATAATATAACGAAACAAGTACATAGTAATGGAATTCTAAAATTATTTTTTTATACTGAAAAAGGATAACAGAAGAGTTTTTCAATTTTTTTATTAATATTCATTCAAATCTAACCCCAATCCTCTTTACACCCACACAAAATTTTTAAGTAAAATTGAAGGGGAATATTATTTTTTTTATGAGATTTTTGAATGATGATGAATATTATACACGTATACTTAAACTCAAATATATATATATATATATATAGTATATATGGGTGAGTGTTTGTGGACCTTTTAAAATGATAATATGCCATAATGTAAATATGGCAACTAAATACATAATAATGTTATATATAGAACATAATAATCATATATACAGTATGCGCATATTAATAATAATGGTTTATTATACAAAGTATGATGGTTAAAATGATTGAGAAAAATTATTGATGTAAATGACATTTTATTGGCTCAGATGGGTTGATGGGATGTTCTAGTTTTTTTATGTGCTTCCAGTTTTTTTATGTGACATTTTGATTCAGGTGCTTTATACAAAAAATTGAAGTAGATTTATAAACACTTGAATTCCAATATTTATTGAATTTGTTTTTTTTTTTTAAATGAAAAGATAATTTATTGTTTTATTTGGTGAGGACAATTTGATAGCAATTCTTTTTTTCTTAGATTTCATTTTTTTTTTTTAAGAAATTTTTATTACCTCACGTATCTTTTTTACTTTAAAATTTAAAAACTACGCTTACATTATGTAAAAATATCACATGTCACGAAATATTTTTTTGAAAAATTACTTATTTTTATAGGTACATATTAAATATGTATAGAAGTTCCCATAGGGTATAGGGTAGAAGTGAATTTTGTAAAAATAATTTGATTTTTGTAATTAGCACATATGGGAAGCAATTCAATAGAACACAGTCCTGCTAAAATACAAATGCTAGCAATTATCGGTCAAAGTTAATTTTTTCTAAATTTAAAGTAATGACAATTTGTTTGATAGCATTATATGTGAAGTGAGGAACCCCACTGAATTGTATAATTATCTAATAAAAATAACTAATTGCCTTACGACTTTTTGGAACTAATATGATTAAAATGATTAAATTTTGAATTCGAACTTGAGTAATGCAAAAATTTTTATCCCAATTCAGTAAGAGTTCGTCATGTTTATCAATAATAACTGTTCGGTACAACAAAGTTTAAAAATAAAATAAACAGAGTAAAAATTAATTACATAAGAAATCCTTATTTATTGGTCATTGTCATTACATATTTTAAATTTTTGTATTAATTGATGTAGGTCAAAGAAAAGTACCATATTCGCTTATTAAAATAATTATTGCATTTATATGCATAACGCGTAGTTTGCTTCGGTTAAAGGACCGATGCCATAACCACTACACCAATACATTATTTATAATTAACGTAAAAGAACGTGACACATTGTTTATAATTAATGTAAAAAAAAGTATATTAAGATTAGAATATAAATTGACTGATTTTTAATAAATAAAATATAGTTTATTCTATGCATTCAATCAATATTTGAAGATTTAGACAGATAATAAGTATGCACATTGAACTACTGCATATCGAAGGCCATTCTGTGTATTGTCTCATTAGCCTTGACTCCGACAATACAATGCTTACAAAATCTATTTGAGTACAGCTAAGTTTCAATCATAAACAATTATTAGAAGTAATATAACTCATAAAGTGAGAGCGTAAAATAACAATTATTAGAAGTAATTTAATTATGTCTCCTCAAAAGTTCAACATTGAATAAAAACTTCAATGTAAGTTCCAAGTGTTTGGTAGATTGTTTGAAGAAATTGGACTTTTTTTTAAATAAAATTTTTAATTTTATAATTTATTCAACTATAAACGTTCAGTTCCCTCCCGTAATTCTATATAACAGTTATAATAAATGTTTTTTTTGTTCAGAAAATTTCATGCCAATCATATGCAATATAGCTGAATGCAAATATGTCATATGTGTTTAGACCAAAACTAATAATTCTTAAGATAATTATAAATATAAAATTTACATATTTTCAATTAAAATATATTTGTATATGTAAAAAAATACTATTAGATTAAGATATCAAAACTTAATAGTGGCGTTTTTTTCAATTTACGTTCAACTTTTAATATTTTAAGTGCTTAGTGTTTAACGCGAATTGAAAATATTTTATTACTTTTAAGCTTAATTTAAAATCAAAAGAAAAATCATGTAGATAAAAATAATTGCATCTAATAGAATTTGATGAATTTTCACGAAAATAAAATTTATCTTAAACTATTTTTATGTACCTACTTACTGGTATTACGCCATTTGCTTAAAATGCTATAAAATGATTGTATATAAAAAAAATGTGTAATAAATTTGTGTTCAAAATTTGAAGAAATTAATTCAATTACATTTTTCGCATATATTGAAAATTTCTAAGTGGCGTAGATATTAAACATTTTTTCTAAAAACATCGTGCAATTAAAGAATAACAGAGGAGTAATAATAGATTTATAGCAAAAATAAGTTGCACTTATATTTCTGTTGAAATCAAGAAAAATATAAAAGTATATCGGTAATCCTTTCAATTTTGTTGAAATTCTGCGCTCTTTATTGATATATTGTGTGCAAAACTATAGCACATATATGTAGGCATAACACTCCGTCCTTGAATCAGTCCCCAAAACTCACTTACCCTGAATTTTTAGAATTAATTAGGTGCCATGTGATTGCCCACGATATGTGATTGCCCACGTTAGCTAGATGCCAAAATAAGGTTCTAAGACGAAAGCAACTCCGATGACGCCAAAGAAGTATGTCATTTTTAAATCTACTGTTTTAGCAAAAACATTTAATTTAAGTTTTTGAGACTCCAAACTAGAAGCGATTTCCAGCAAATTTTACCCAAATGCACTTGTCCCAAATTGAGTTATTTTAAAATGTTTAGCTCCTTTTGTTCTGTTAATGAGAGATTTTTGTTGAACAATAATTGATGAAGATATAGTTTTTAATTTTGGAGTGAAGAAAGGTCTGTAAAAATAAATTACAATAGGCAGCTTTCAAACTAACCAGTCGACTTAAGCTATCACACTCGACCCTATTATACTCGCATTTCTCCTTCTCCTATATAATTTATTCAAGTATTTTAATTTCAAAATATTTTGCATTTAATTATTGTTTGTATTCAATTGTTGAATCAGTCGCACAACATTGTTATAATAAATTAGATAATAAAGTTATTAAAAAACTTCAACTTTAATTCATTAAAAAATTTATTGCATTTTTATTTAAAAAATCTTAATATTTTCTTGTTTCACATTAAATTAAATGTGTTATAAAAGCTTACGAAACAATAACTATTATACTATGTTGCGATAAGTTAAAAATTATTACTTAAATTGAAATGTTTTTAAAACCACTATTTCTCAGCATTAGTTTCCATGTATAAATTAAAAACCATAAAAACCATTTGCATGTAAATTGTGTAATTTACAAACAGTGAAATGTAAATATTATTTCGTCTTTAATCGTAATGAAAATTGTTTTTGAATTACCAAATTAATGACTAATTGTAATTACATAGTAAATTATTATAATTTTCCTTTTTTTAAAGAATTTAAGATTTCATTAAAAAAATATAAGAAATATTGCGTGCATAAATAATTTTTAATTTTTTACCATTATTTTTAAAAATTTAATCGGAAGTTGTTAAAATTGTTTACGTGTAAAATTACATAAAAAATTTTATTTTATTAAAAGAGTTCCAAAGAACTTCTATTACAAAGTTGTGGCTTTCGTGACTAACACTAAATTTTTTTATAAAATAACCACTTAAACCACATATAGAACAATAATTTTGAAAAATTCTTATTAATTATACTTATACAAAATAAAAAAAAAAATTATTTCGCCTATAATTATGCTATAATTCGCCAAATAAATTAATTTTATATTTTGTATTTTTCTTAAATAGCTGCATTTCCAATTACAAGAAGAATTGGTCATCCATATCAGAATAGAACTCCACCAAAACGAAAAAAGCCACGTACATCATTTACAAGAATACAAGTAGCTGAATTAGAAAAACGTTTTCATAAACAAAAATATTTAGCATCAGCTGAGAGAGCGGCATTAGCAAGAGGTTTAAAAATGACAGATGCTCAAGTTAAGACATGGTTTCAAAATCGTCGTACAAAATGGAGGTAAGTTTCTTTGCAATTAATTTTGCTTATATAAATAAAATATAAATATTTAAAGAAAAATTATTTATGCGACTGCTAAAATTTAAACTCTACTAATTTCCGATTTCTGGTTATGCAATACAATTACCTATTTTGTATAAATTCATGTAACTTTAAATGGTAACCACAGTGATATTTTTTAATAGCTATGGTAATTTTTGATATATACAGAATAGTTTTGATAGAAGTACAAAATCTGAAATACTATTGCAGTCAAGCAATTGAAAATATGTAAAATTTTTGTTAAGAACCAATTTTCAAACCAAAACGGCTCTCGTTGGGTATAGGAAATTATAAAAACAAAATTTTCGGAAATTTTTTTCTCCTCGGGAATTCTTTTGGTTATAAGTCGAATTCCAGAAAGAAGCCGTCTTGAAGCTCAGATTGTATGCTGTTTGGGTATTTAAATCTTAATTTTCGGGATAAAAAGTCCAATGCTAAGAAACACAAGAAGATTCATTAAAATTGCATAACACTAGGCTGTATTTCATATACTCTTTAAAAATATGTGTATAGCCTACTTAAATTTATTTAATTTATTAAAATATTACCCACATGTATACATTGGAGCAACATAGTTGAGCTGTAGTGAAAATATCATTTTACATTTATTACACAAAAAAAAGTTATAAAAAATTAAATTCAAATTGGTAATAAATTTACAAATAAAAAGAAAACAAAAAAAAGTAACAAAAAATTGAATAAATTTTCCAAAAAATTGCTCACATATAAAGAGCAATAAATTTGCATTAAAATTCCAAAATGAAAACGTATATTTTAATTTGACAGAATAATTTAAATCACTCCTTTACTCCTTCTCTTCTCTCTATTTCAATTCACGAAACGAAAAATAAGAGAAAATTTTAATTTCATTTCATTTCATTTTTTTTCGAATACTTAAACGCAAGACATTAATTCAATTGCTCTTTTTTTACGTACTTTAATTTGAACATACTCAATTTAATACCAATTTTATATATACGTATATAATATGTGCAAATATATTAAATCCCAATGCTCGTTTAAAATTATTTTTTTAGTACTTAAAATTACCTTAAAACACCCTTACAATCATCATAACAATCATTCATGAAAATGACAAATTGCTTCGACTTACTTATGCAAAATTTTATTTACCTTTATCAAATTATCTTTTTATGATTTCATATTTTTCACCCCTTTATTTTCATTCCAACACAATACACATAGAAGCAGTAATATAAGAGTAAATAAAACAAATGTGTTTTTCGGTTACGGGTCGGGTGCTGCTGTTGCTTGTCATGTCATATACACATAAATGTATGTAAAAAATAACAAAAGCCCCAAATGAAAAAAATATTATGTATATTTTTAGTTCCGTCGTCGCTGCCGCCGTCGGTAAAACAATTTAATTCATTAAATTGCACAAATTTGTTATTTTTTATGTTATACCGAATTTTTTATAACCATTTTGTTATTTTTTTTTTGTGTTGTATATTCTTGATTTGTTATCTTAATTTCGGATATGTTTATTATGTTTTGAATTGCATGTTTTATATAAATTTTTACTACTCTTCTGTTATATGTTCATGATCATATCATCATCGTCATCATCGTCATATATAATTTCTATATTGCCTATTGGCTGCGATATTAAAAATCTGCTATTCAATTTAAAGAATTTGAAAAATTATGACACCATGAAAGTGGCATGTAAAAATTTACCACTATAACAGTATGTTTATTTTTCTTTCTACACTTGATAACACGTTAATCATAAATGAAAAACTTATAATGAAAATGAAAAAAAAAGAGACAGCAAATAAAAATATAAGAAATGAGAAAATTAAAATTTTGTAATAAAAGTATGAGAAGGAGAAGTAGGTACTAAAAGAATAAAAAAAAAAATTTAATTTGAAAAATTTCAGGAATTTTTAATGAAATGTTCAAATTTCTACTGATTTTTTTTTTTTTTATTAAAATGACTGAAATTTTTTAATTTACACACAAATTAAAGAAAATTTTAATAAAAATTTAATAATATATACGTTTTGCAATGTTTGTAATAAATGTAATAAAGAATTTTCACGTGTACGTGCGTGTTGGAATACAATAGCTCCTAAATCTCATTAATCGAAATTCCATAGTTCTCATAATTTTGCATTACAGAATGAGAAAATCGTTTAGATGTAAAATTTGAGAAGTCAATTAAATTTTTAAATATATTATATCGAAAAGCAATTAAGATACAAGCAATTAAGCCGTCGCTTCGATCTATAAACTGTCCTCGTACATTTGATTAATTTTAATATTCACAATTTCAAATCAGTACTTGCGTGTTTTGAAAGTATTTGGGAAAATAGTGCTTTTTTGGAAATAGTTTGCATAGTGTATAATGTCGTTTCATAAAGGTAGGAACTGCTTGATTTTAGAAATAATATATTGAATTTCTTTTGTTTTTGATTTTAACTTATTTCTGATTCATTCTTACTTGAAAGCAATAATAGAATATAAATCTATATTAAAATTTTGTCTCGATATCCTATTAAAGTAACGAAGAATTGAAATCATAAAATTTTGCAGAGTTAAACGATTTTCACAGAATTCTTTAACTTGCCTTACTTATTCTATCAGTAACAATATATTTAAATTTTAACTAATTTTCTTTTCATTTATTTTAAAATTAAAAATTTTCATATCAAATTTTCTTCAAATTTACAATTAAAAATTTCTAATTTTCTAATTTAAATTTTCAAAAAATTTAACATAGAATTGTGAATTTCTATATACACATATAATATTCTATAATTATATATATGCGGATACAGAAACATATTTATAATCATATATACAAATAACATAAAAAATTCAACACAAAACAATAAAATCTAATAAAACAACACAAAAAGTAACAAAAGAAAAACGTAATTATTTTGCCATATAAAATATTTTACATATAATTTTAATTAATTTAACAAAATGCCAACTTTTAACCTCTTATTCATTTATCATTATAAAAATTTAACAAACTTTTTAAAAATAACAATATTTAAAAAACATAGAAAATAAATAATATTTTATTGTTATACACTTTTATTATTATTGCTATTCTGTTTGTATATACTAATGTTGCTATTGTATACAATTGGTTACTTTATTATTAATGACATGTTATGTGGTTTTAAATAAAAAGTATGCCCATCGTTTTATACTTAATAAAAAACAACAAATACTGATTTCTGTTTTTTTTTTTCGTCAAGAAATAAAAAATAAATTAAATTTATTAATCAAAAATATATATACATACATATACACAAACATACAAAATTTTTTTATATTTAAGTAAATTTTAATCAATTATGCATAACAACATTTTTCATTCTTAAAATGAAAAATGCCCAACTACAACAATAAAAATCAAAAGAAAAGCACAAGAACAAAATTTTGCTTCTCACATAAATTTATTAATATTAGAAAAAAAAGAGATAAATATGCTACTAACCTATACACACATTTACATCTATAATGTGAAGAAAATCACAAAGAGATGGGAGAGGGAAAAGGAGGAGAAGGAAACACAATAGAAATTTAATTCTAAGTAGCTAGTTAGTAAATATACACAAATTTTTTTTTTTTGCAAAACACTTTACTGTAATATTCATTAATTTAAGGAACAAGAAGGAAGAAAAAACAAAAACGGCAAAAATAAGAAAAAAAGGAAATTCAAAATTTCCCCCAAATAAACAACAAAAGGGAAAAAAGCAAAACTCTTAAGAAAACAAAAAACGTAAATGAGAGAAAACAAACAAAAAAATTTTCGACAATCAACGAAAATCCCATGAGAAAATTTTATCACGTGCAAGTTAATTCTCTCTTTTTTATATAGTAACAATTTTAGCCATTAAGCAGTTATACAGTTATATATTTTACTATAATATGCAGGTATATTTAAATAAACACAAGTAATTATGTATGTATATGTTTTCTAAGATAACAGGACGTAATTAATAAGTATCCAATGTTACGTAGGTTGTCATTTAACAAAAGGATTTTAGTATAGAACAATGAATAGATCTATTTAACTGTTAAACATAGAGAGGTTTAAGAACACAAAGGTTTTCATAGCGAGAATGATATCTATAGAAAAATTTTAATGGTCTAACTAGTAGGCCTATGATTATGCATATACAAAGAAGTCTGATGTAAAAAATATTAAGTGTGAACGCATTTTTCGAAATTACAATTATTTAAGTTGCAAATATTTCACTTACGATTATTAAAAATTAATAAGCCACCGCAACTTTCAGAACGCAGAATATTCCAAGAATAATGAGATTATTTTTATACGAATTGAGGTCATTATTCATAGCTTGAATGTAAGACAATCGATGTGATTTTGCGTAAATTTTTTTTGCGATTTAAAGAAATTTAATTAAAATTTCAGTTCTTAAATAAAAGGTATGTATTCTCTTCCGAAAAATTAGGAAGATGTGTAAAAGAATTTTAAATTTTAAAATTTTCATATAACTGATTATACCCTTATACATTATTTTAATCAACCTCAAGAAAACAAAACCCAAAATATTTGTTTTTCATCTTCTGGTTATATTTAAAGTCTATAGTGAATTAAACAATACCGCAAATGATAAACTAACCACTTGTTTTCTTATAAGAAATTCAAAAGTATACAATACTCAACTAATCAACTAAGAATACAAAAATTTTATACAAATATGCATTAATATTAAATATATGTATACAAGAATGTAGATACAGTTAACAATTTATGTTAATATTAAAAGTTTGTTGAATAAAAGTATGTATATGTGCCACAGGGATTGTGACCCCTACTACAACCCTACATCTATATGAACGCAAATGTTTAGTATTCTAATATTTGGAGAAAAACTGAGATGTAGATATAATGTGGAAATTTCACTTAAAGTTTCTTGATTCTTTCAGTTTTATTGTATACATAATAT